TATACCCTATGTAGAGAAAGAGATGGTGGAAAGGAGCCCTCAAAGAGCGCTTGTACTCTAACTAGCCGGAGTCAAAATGTGATAGATATAGCATTTCAATACATCAAGCTGTCGAAGGTTGGCCATGGATTCTAAGCCAAAACAAATAAATGGATCCCTAAAGACGGTTGTGTATTATCTTGGGACTAGGCTCTTCATTCAATAGTCCTTAAGCTGGGCAATTTCTTAGTCCACAAAAAATATTTACACAAGAATTATGGTCATTAAACAATAGCCTCCGCTGATCCGTAGCCTAGATAGAACAGACCACCAATTATGTTGAGGGCCGAGGTCACATAAAAGACGACAGACCACTTGTGGGTCTTCTCCAGTATGTAACCAGTCAAAGAGACGCCAACGAAACCAGGAATTGTACCCACTGTGGACATCACGCCTGGATAGCAGAAAAAAGAAACAAAAGAAAATAGACGACTGAGTTACACGATCACGTACCAGTGGGCTACAAAAGTCGACTTGCGTCGGAAGCTGATAAATTGGGAATGTATTTTATGTTAAAGAAACTGTCTATAATTAAAGAAATCAACAGATACAGGTACTTATCGAATGATAAGTGTAGCAACTGACATCTCGGTCCAAAAGACTAAGCCGGTTTCACAAGCTATCAGAAATATATCTGCCTTGATTGAATTAACAGCTATTAGTTTTGGTTCGACTATTAGAACTATTCAGAAGGCATGATCCTTCTTCATATGACCTTAATTATTTCCATACGTCGCCGGGTACATTTAGGCAGTTGCATTTTTCACCTTTGTCGTAATTAATATCAATCGCTGTTAAGAAATTTACTTGGAAAAATTCAAGCACTGAAATATTGGAAATAATTATTCAGCTACTATCTTCTTATATAGGGAATTTAATTTTCGTTTTTAAAATTCAACTACTATTCCTTCATCTTAAACGAAATAGAATGAACCCATCTCATAAATATCTTAGTTACTCTATTATATAGCAAAATTTTAAACAAAGGCCCCGCAACACCAATGA